GATTGGCCAGGCCAATCGAATTAATACTCGATAACATAAACAGATTAAGTGGGTACTTAAAACTAGTAAAAAGGTTGAACCATTTAAAACTAATAGAACTGTTTGAATCCATGTAAATCACTAAACCATTCAACTAGACAGTTTAAAGTTTTTGGAAAATTTTCCTTAGATTTGATGCATAAAGGAACGTTGTTGGTCTATAGTTCCAGATTTTTTATATTCATCTCATTTTGGTTTATGTGCATCAACAATTAGATAAGCTCTTCAAATGTGATCTTACTCTTTCAATAAATATTTATATATTTGCTTTCATTTTCCTAAATCACACACAATAAAAATACCATCTATATTGACTTTTGAATCTTCTTGTTGTATAAGGTCTTTGGAGATAGCTTGAGTAGGCTCTTGTTGAAAATCCTTAACCTTTTTTTTTTATGCCCCTTCATTAATTTTTATTTAGATCTGCTTTTCTTTTTCTCTTAAACAAGGACTCAATTATTCTTTTTGTTTCCATTGATACGATTGATCCTAAATAAAAAGCAAACCACAAAAGTAAATTAAACTAACATAATAAAAAAATAGAAAACTTTATTTTAAAAAATGCCTAATCTTTTATTTGTCAATAAAATGTAAATGTCAAAAGTAAATGATCCCATTCTTAAATATTCTCAATTGTAATCCATCTTCCTGTACCTCTATTTCCAAGTTTTTTTTTTCCCCTGTTCATATACATTCCCTTTTTCTTTCAGATATTTATTTTTTGTACTCTGGTTCCATTTTATATAATTTTAATATTATTATAATCTCCAATTTTGTTTAGTAATTTTAACAACTCTAAATCTTAAAAAAAAATTACATAATTTTTTATGGTAATAAAAAATTAATAAATTTTATTAATAAAATATTATAATAATTTTTATGGTTAAAACATGCCCACTAATTAATATATGACAAAATTCTAAAATAAAATATAAGAAACAAGACTGGAAATCTCCAATTTGTGGTTCCGTCCAAAAAGGAGTCGTATTTGTCTTCAACTTGCCATTTTTGGTCGGTGGTCCCTTCAATGACAGAGATGGGGAAAAAAGTTGTGGATAAAGATAATACGAGTTTTCTTTTTCTTTTTTTTTTTTCCTTTTTTTTTTTTTTAAGTTGAACTGTTGAGGGAGATTGGAAGGGACAGCGAAAACAAACCACATAAGGCAGCTGTACAGATATCAGAGAAAGCAAAATAATTCAAAGTCAACTTTTCATATTATTTTTCTAGTATAATTTTATATATTATTTAAATAATTAATTATTTTATTGATTTAAAACTTATAATATTAAATTAAAAAATTAATTTTCAAAATAAATGATATGCAATTCATATATAAAATTATTTAAATGTTTTTAATAAAATGATATAAAATAAAAATTATAAATATTTAAATAATTTTACTGAATAAATTATATACAATTTACCTTTAAAATATTTTTTTATTAAATATATCTATTTATTTAATAATATATAAATTAAAAAACTATATAAAATAATTCCTCTTTACATCACTACCCTCAAAGAAATCTATTTATTTTTTACTGAAATCTGTTGTGGAACGTCTGGGTTTCTTAAAATAATTAAGGACTTGAATTCTTGAAATGGACCGCATTTGGGCTCCTAAACATTGCCCACTATTTTAATAGGTTCGATCCTTCGTTATTTTATATTTTTTAACAATTAAAAATATAATATTTAGAATTTAATACTAATAATCAATAAATTAAATATAATAATTTTTTTGATAACAGAGGGGGCCAGGGCCAGCGTCCGCCACCGTCCACTGATTTACAAGTGGCTCCGCCACTAAAGCCAGATTGTCTATTAAGGATTGGGAAACAGGATATATATATATATATATATATATATATCTATATATATATTCTTGGCTAATAAATGTATATGTCATTTACAGAAAGAATCCCACTACTAATTAACTCAATTCTATTTCATAAGTCTACAGACAATGTCCCCTTTCTTTACCAGGGTGAAGAAGCTTCAAGAAAGAAGAATGAGGGAAAATGGTCCGATAACTTGATTTTTAGCGGATGTTTTTAACGAAATTCCTGAATTCGATAAAGAATGAGAAAACGCGAGAGAGAGAGAGAGAGAGAGAGATAGCCATTAAGTATGTGAGGCATAATATGGATTATAATTTTGTTAAATTTATTATGTATTTATTATTAAACTTCTTGACAGTTTTAATATTAGAATGTCCTAATTATTTCTTTTTCTCAAAATATATAAATGTTAAATAAAATTTGAAGAAAAAATAATAAGAAAAAATTTTTCTAATATGTGCATTTAAGATGCAATTAATATATTTCTTTCCATTTGATTTGGTTGTCCTATTTTCTAAAGAGTAATGACAGGAGTATGAAAATTTGGAATAAAAATTTGGGATTAACGACGTGATTTATGAATTTAATCAAATTAGTTAATACATATAATATTATCGTTTTGAAAAAAATATTAAAAAAGTTAAGTATTAAATATTATAAAGTTTATTTTTTAATATTTAAAATGATGTTACTTATACCACGTTATTAGTCTCATTTACCACTATTCTTTTCTAAATGAGGGTGATTTGATTAGTTGTCTCACTTTCCATTTTAATAGTATATTAAATGTTAATATTTCAATTTTACCTTTATCTCAAATGAGATGTAAATGCATTAATTTTTTATTTAATTATAAGTGAGGATGAAAATAAAAGATAAGTCTTAATTATTATAATAAATAAATTTCTTACCAATGATTTATTAGTTTGAATGAAAGAAACTCAATTTTTTTTTTATAAGATTTCAAGTTTGAGTATTATAAATGGAGAAACAAATACTAGAAGAGTTTTCCCTCTTATAGGGTTTCAAGCAACTCGATTCGGATTAATTAAGACCCAATGTGATTATTAAATATAAGGAGTTAATATCAAATAAATAAATAAATTTTTTAATAATTATAAATGGATAAACTAAAACAACTAAATCCGACAAAAAGAAATATTTTTTAATTACTTCCTCCTCTCAATTTTATAGATTTAGTTTTTAATTTGAAGCATTCAAATTTATTGCTTCATATTTTTTTAGGATGTTGCTTATTCCTATTTTACATTTATTTAAAAAAATATTATAGCATATATTAAATAAAAAAAATT